CCTTTTCACCGTCAATTTGAAAATAATCCATTGCTGTGCAATATTCTGCCTGCACACTTCCGTGGACCACAGAGCCAAGAGATGCTGGTCAGCCAAACAAATGCTGGCTAAATGCCCATTATCAGCCTTGAAATAGACACAACGAGAGAGAGCTGAAATGCGTTAGACTTTTCCAGTATTGACATTACAAGTATTCACTCGATTTTGGCCAAACACACATACAGTCATACATTTATTTTCTTAGTGTAACATATACTGGGTTTATTTCTATTATTTGTAAATATGGAAATTGAAGAAATGATTGTTTTGTGGTTGTTGTTGTAGTTGTTGTGGAGAAAACAAGTTGGTCACTTTTAGTCGGTATAGAATAAATTGTGTATGTGTCTTAAGTCTTTTGTTATTATCAATGAAAGTTTGCCTCTCAAATCTTTCTCTAGCATAGGAAGTTTGTCAACTAAACGTTTCTTTATTGAAATTGTTTGGTCGTGATGCTTGAAGTATGTAGATAAACAATTGTAGCCTCACAGAGGCAAGTATTTATTTTCTTCTAAGCCAAAAGAAATTATAGAATTATTGTTTTTATTATTCTTAGCAAAATTCTTAATTTTAAGGAAATATACACTTTCAGAATTGTTTTAGAGCCAGGTTAAGGCCAATGTTTTTTATACACTCCACCATACATAGTATGGAGGGTATATTAACTTCGTCATTCCGTTTGTAACTCATCGAAATAATAATTTTAGACCTAACAAAGTATATATACTCTTGATTCTGAGACGATTTAGTCCTGTCCGCCCGTCCGTCTGTTTTAATCACGCTGCAGTCAAAACAAATAAAGATAAGAAGCTAAAATTTTGCACAGATCGGTCTTTTGTTTGCAGGCAGGTCCAGTTCGAAGATAGGCTGTATAGGTCCACGATATCGTATGGCTCCCATATAACGGTACGCCCGATTTTCGGTATTTTGATGATTTTAGACACATTTTTCAATGAAATTCTATGAAATTCTACACAGCCTGAAGGACATGTATATATGTAGGTCTACGATATCGTATAGCCCCATATAACGGTACCCCCGGTATTCGGTATTTTGATGATTTTAGCCACATTTTGGATGGAATTGTCTGAAATTCCACACAAGGAGTTCCTTGTGAGTACTTTAACCCCGATATCGTATAGTCCCCATATAACAGTTCCCCCGATATTCGGTATTTTGTTATATAGGTCCACAATATCATACATCCCCCATATATCGGCACCTTCCAATATTCGGTATTTTTAAGATAATAGAATTTTAGATGGATTTAATTTTTTGGAAAATTTCCTAATTGGTTCCAAATGGTGGAAGGTATTCAAAGTTCGTCCCGGCCGAAATTACTGCTTTTTTACTTTTTTTTTTTAATTGAGAAAATTGAAAAATACTCTGAACGAAAATATTTAAAAAATTCGATGCTTATTACAGTGACTTAATTAAAATTATTAAAACATTTTTACTTAGATCGCTTTTTATCTTTGACTGACATACGACTATGGCTCTAAGGAAGTTACATGTCAATTATATTTTTTTTTTTATTTAATTTCCATTGTGTTTCACTATAAGATGCCAATTATATTTAAAACCGTTATGTTAATTCCTTTCACATAATTCTGAAAGGGAGAAAACCTTATTATTTGTTTATAAATAATGAAGACAATTTTACTTTCATAAAAATGAAAACAATAATGGAAATTATCTCACAATTTGAATGCATTTTCCCATCCCATGCCGTTGTACATTCCTGTTTATGTGCAGTGCAGTATGCTCCCAACTTCCGTAGAAACAAACATTAGCTAATTATGACACACCCGTTCATAGCCCACAACTTGCTTGTTGAACTTCAAAGATGATCTCTCAGACGGAAAAGTATCTCAGCTTGGTCTTCTCGTTTCGTCTTCATTAATTATGTGTATACGAACATTAAGCGCGATCCACGTAATTATTTTTTCGAGCAGGAGTTTTGTTTGTCGTTTTTTCTCTCCATTGTTAGCGAGTAACTAGCAAGAGACATTATCTCTGACAGTTTTGCGTTTCATTCACAACAAAAATAACAGAGATTTGTGAGAATCTTCAAAGAAGGAAAAAAAACTTCACTTTCATTGATTGTTTCGTGCAATTTTCTTTTGGTTGCTTTGGAAAACATTTTTAAATTCCGAATTAAACAACAATGATGCTGCAACGGATATTCCCACACCACAAATACATGCATGTGTACATATGTATGCGCTAGCGTTAAACATTGTTGCAAAGTCTACCGATTCTGCATTTGTATGTTGTTCATAGTTTCTGGAGCACATTATGGTCAACGCTGATGCATTTTTTGTAAATTGTTTGGAAAATTCCAGTTTTTCGTTTCTTTTTTCATTTAAGCTGTAATGATATGATTGTCGTGGGGTCGCAAAACAGCATCTTTCCTTCTCGGTTTGTTTTATAAATATATTGGTGTTCTTCTTCGTTGCAGTATTTTTTTTAATTTTCTTGTGGCTCACGTTTATTCTCTTAAGAGGATGGAAGCGGTTTGGAATGGGAATGGGAGAGGGCGCGATATGAAAATTAAGTCCTAATTTATCAAAATAGTGTGAAAATTCTAATTACATTTTTCAAATTTGAACTGTATTTAAAAATAAAAATGGTAATGGTGCAACTAATTTTTAAAAGAAAAAACAATTTTTTAACAACGAAAAGTTCATTTTTTTAGGTCAACTCATCAATTTGTGATGGACAAATCTATTTAAATTTAATTTATTTAAATAAATGTAATTGCTATTTTCGAAATACTAAGTTTGTATATTAATTAGCTCTTTGACAAAACGGCCTTAACATACTGCACTAAAGAAGGTTGTACATAGGATTTGTTAGTACATGAGTTATCATGTGGTCTGTTCCGGGACCTGCAAGAATCTAGTAGTTTTGCGAATTTGCAGTTCTGGAACAGGTTTCTAAATTTTTATTTTTTTCAAAGTGTGTGACTTTGTATTTAATCCAAACAAAGAGACATATAGACGGTCAGGTGTATAACTACTCCAAGTTAACCCTGAAAATAGCTATTTTCGAGAGACTAAGATTTTCATTTATGCCATGACCACATCTGTGAGATCGCTCCTCGTCGCTATGAAGTTGTTGCAGGTATAAGTTTTGTCATTGCCATGTGATGATGTTGTTGTAAGTCTCAGATGTAGTTGTTGGAAGAAAAAATCAGGTTAAACAGCAACCGCTACAAGACGAATCGGCTAGCAATGGCGGCAGAAAAAACTGCCACTTATTGCAGTAACAAGAACATCAAAAGAAGAAAGTTTTTTACTTTGCTTTGGAAAGAAGTTGTTGTTGTTGCAGCTGTTGCTGGTACTGGTAGAATAATGTACAATGAAATCACTTAAAAATATCTGACGCTGAATATACAGAGCATTTAATAAGAAGACATTGTATGAATCTCACATTTGCTCCCCTGTTGCGGTCAGGATGACACAGAAAAGTAGAAAATTTCCAGTTTATTTTTTATTGAATCTTTAAATGATGTTTTTTATAAATATCCGAGGTTTGCATGTTACAAAAACTCTATAGTTTGGATCAAGGAGATGAAGAGGCATTTTTGTCTAGCAAACAAAGCTCAGTTAATGACCTATCGTAACGATCCTACATTTAAAGTACTCCAGGCACAATAGTCCAACGGATTGGTATTCGGAGATATTGGTGGCCATTGTGCGCTGGAATTGAAGCGAGGTAACAATTCTTGGGTGGTGCGTGCTGAGTCCTGTTGGAATGTCCAAGGTCTGCGGCCAAAATGTTTGCGTGCCCAAAGCTTTAATACACCCTCCAGAATATTTTCGCGATAATATTCAGTATTTATTCTGATGCCACCACGGTCGATTAATACGAGCGGAGAGCGACAGTCGGCTGTTATAACGGCCCACACCATCACCATGGCCGGCGCTTGAGTTCTGGTGGGCAACCGAAGATGCACATTTTCAGCTGACCAAATTCGGCAGTTCACCACTTTCGGCCAAGCGAAGCAACTCCTTAGCTCTTTTGAGTCTGATTTCTTTCCGTTGCGGTGTAAGTTCTTACATTTTGGGAATATCAATGGCTTTACCCCGAGCTTGTTTTTCAATATATGTTCAGCTCACGAGCCATTTTTCGGCCACTGTGACGTGGGTTTCGATCAAGTCGCTCCTTTACTTTTTCCGTCCACTTCACAAATCACACTATGACGCTTGAATTCCATTACGAAAAACTTTTTTTCTGGAAAATTCTCCCCAAAATGCTTTTGTACGCTTGTAAACAATATAATAAGCTGTCGCTGGAATAATTTTAACAGCTGTCGGACGAGTGGCTTAGAAATGACAGCAGTTTTTTCATCTCACACTGTATACATCACAAAATTGTTAGAAGACGTGCACACTCAGAAAACTTGTATTCAGCTGGTTGACCATCATACCTTTTAACTTTACCATGGATAGAATTATTAAAGTAATCTCCTGCAATCATATTTTTTTTAAATAAGACTTTTCTAATTTGACAAAGGAAAGCCATACTTACACAAACCAGAAATGAAACCTATTTTCTATGAAATTAAAATTGACATCTTTTAAAATTTTTGATTTTTTGGAGTTGAATTCAAAATTTAGGAAACTCATTAAATTAGGGATTATTCTCCGCATTTATTCTTATCGTCATGCAGAAACAGACCTTAAGTCAGTACTGAATAACATAATATTTTCCGTTCTTCCTCTATGATTTAAAATAAATAGGTATAAGATAAAATAAAATAATTCAAAATCATATGCATTTTTGAAATTCTGACCAATTATAAAAACATAGTTTAAATTTATTGCAGACTCTGGATATTTCCTACTCTTTTTAGTTTACTTTAATTCCTATCTGGTTATCCATTTTTTCGACAACTTCAGCGGGCCATCAAATCGGTAAGCATACCTACCTCTTTGCTTTGCGCCGTCCCTATGCGATTTATATTTTAATTACATATGTGTTTGTAGGTATGTATGTATGTTTGTTTATATTTTATTTCGATTTTTTGGAAGTGGGTTATTTATGTAGTTAAACTTACATATCTATAGCTAGATTCAGTTAATAATAAATTAATAATGAAAAAATTACAGCGAAGTAATAAAAAAAGGAATAGAAAAAATGCGAATTTCAAAAGAATTCCAATGGGGGAAATTCTAAAGAAAATCTATTAAAAATATACAGTGTACCCTACACTGCAATAAGCAATGTAGTGCACATCGATAATCACAATTATATATTGACAAGAATATATAACCGATTATTTGCTCAGTGGTTTTGCCTTAATGGGATAACTTACGATATTATCGTAATTTTTATGGACAACTTAAAAAATATCGCAAAAATATTAAAGCTTAAATAAAAGACCAATAATGAGCCTTGCTAGCGGGCCTTTGGGTGGGGTTCAGAAGTAAAGTTTTAAGGGGCTACAATGAAAATCTTCTCATATTCTGATATTTTACAAAGATGAAGCCAATGTCCAACTATTCAGTTGCAGAACTTTCTAAACAAAGATGTTCGTCGTCGTTCAGCCAAAATAAGTATTGGCGAGATTTTGATTTGTTTTTGTTTTGGGAAAGTCTGGTGGCTTGGGTTTAGTTGGAAAAAGTTTGCTTAAATTTACAACAGAAGAGGTGTGGTGGTGGAAATGCAACGGCGTGTGTCCATCGATGTGTGTTTGATTGAAGTTACAAGCTTCTATAGTGGCTCCAGTGTCGTCGGACCATTTGGACTGGCTTCCAGTTTGCGCCAAACAACATTACACATCTCGCGTACCAAAGCCTTTTCACCGTCATCCATTTGATCGATGGCATTGCCGGTTAGATGGCCCAATCTATCGCGTTCTAGTTGTTCTCTGACTTCTAAAACTTGTAGAGCTCGTACAACAGCTTCTGGCCGACCAGATATGGGATCAACTAAGCCATCATTTAATGCAGATGGCGACGACGATGTCGATGTTTGTGTTGTTATTTTTTGGTTTTGGTGATTTGTTACTGCTGTTGTTGTGACATTTGTTGGCTGATGCAGTTGCTGCTGATGCTGTTGTTGCTGCTGCGTCGTATGCTGTTGTGATGGTCGATGTTGTTGCTGTTGTTGTTGGCTTGCCATGTTGGCTGTTGTTGCCGCGTTCGTAGTGTTGGTCAAACGTTCCTCCTCCAATTGCTGTATGCGTCGTTCCAAAGATCGCACGTACTGGAGTGTTTGGTCTTGCAGTGTTGAACGTAAATGCAGATCCTGTTAGAAAATACAAAAACAAAAAAAAGAGAACAAAAACAACAACAAACAATAATTGTTAGCGAATTTCTTTCCTATGGCATTTATGGTACATGGACTAGATTCTATTCTAGTTTTGTATTTACCGGTAATTGCCTCTCGTAGTTTCTCAAAGCAGTTATGTTTTCATCGGCATTTGTACTTGAACTTGAACCGTCGCCGTCGTCTCTCAACGTGTTGCGAGTAGAGGCACCACAGTTCACACACAACGAATTGGCCGCAATGTGAGCCCTCTCTTCGTCCAAATAAAGGCAGAGTTCTTTCAGTTCCAAATTATCGGTGATGAGTTCTTGTTGTTTATCATCCAGCTGACGTAGTTTATTCTGAAATGGAACAGAGGAAAAATGAGATTCGTTTAGTTAATGTTCACGAAAAATATCAAGTTATCAATCAGTTGTTTTAGCAAAAGGCATAAATGCTTTATTTAGAGCGACAACAGCGGCCCAAGATTCTATAATTTCAACCTTATGTTTTTTTACCTGACTGTCGGAAAATAAACTTCAAGGGAATCCCTTTTCTATAGTTTAACAAATTTTGGAAAATAGCCTAACTTCTTCTTCAACTACTTCGGAGGAGCATACAAAAAGACATGATCGAGATGTGAAATAGACAACTTCGTACCTCTTCCTTTCATTTCATTCACCCAAAATTATGTAGTCCGAAGTTGGGTGGATATATTTGATATTCCAATCGGTGTATTAATTCGTCTTATATATATACAGATCTATGCTTTTAAAACCTTTTACAAATAATGTTTGTTTATTTCCAAAAAAATACCCACCTGATATGCTGCCACCTCTTGTCGCATTACACTCGCTGTATAACGACCAAAACGCTGCCATTCGCGAGCCAGTTTTCGACCCTTCTGCCGGTCATCGTCCAGAAAACAACACAAATCTCGGAGTTCCTGATTGTCATCCATGAGCCGTTGATTTTGCTCTTTTAGGGCGCGCAATTCATTGATCAGCGACTGTAGCTGGCGATTCTGCTCGGCAGTCAGGCGGCCAGCCGTCGACGGTATGCCACCTGTACCACTGGACGTGACCGAGGCATTTGGTGAAGGATGATCTTGATCGGATTTGCGTACAAATTTTAACATATCCTGTTGTTGCTGTTGTAGCTGCTGTTGCTCCGTCAATGCCGATTGATGGCCGTTTAGCAGGTTGTTGGTATGGTTGTTGTTGCTATTGTTGGTTGTGGTGCCGTTCGTCGTTGTTTGATTAACACTCCGCAATCGCTGTTGCAGTTGTGATTGATTAGTTTGTTGTTGGTGTTTCTGTTGCAAGTAACGCGAGTTGCTGGCGGAGGCGTTCTTCAAGGAGTCGGGTATGAAGACGCTGGAGAGTTGTGGTATATCCGGGGGATATTTTAGGTTGCCCAAATGACCGTTGCTCTGAGTCTCCGGAAAGTATGATGTATAACCGTTGGAGCTGCCCGTGCTGCTCTTGGTGCCGTTTGTTAATCGTTGCGAATGCAAATTCTTCAGAATGCCAGTCGTGTGTTGTGGTTGTTGCTGCTGGCAGTTACTGTTGTTGGTATTGGATGGCTGTGGCGGTGGTTGATAGCGCGGCGGTATGGAGTGGGCTGGAGCCTTTAGATTTGTTGCCGATTTCAGAGATTGCAAATGATAAAAATTTCTTCTGTTCGAAGGATTCGTCAATTGGTCGGTGTTGGCGCCACTCAGAGCTGTTGTTGTGCCCGCCGCCGTCGTTGAAGTCGTTTGGGTTTGTGTGGTACCCACGGCCCCTAACGACGATGACGCCGATTGGACGGTATGCAGTTGTTGGCCTGGTGTGGATGGCTGATGTATTGTCGCTACTGTTTGTAATTGATTCGCTTGGGGTGGTTGGGTGACCGTACCAGACGTTGCAACCGTTATATGTTGTTGTTGTTGCTGCTGCTGCTGCTGCAACGTTGCTGAGGGAATAAAGGAACGCCTTTGATGTTGTTGCGGTGCCTGCAATTTGCTTAAACCGATGGCCGATGATGATGACTTCAAATTTGTGCTGTGCTGCGACTGATGCTGTTGCTGGAGGCTATTGGGAGAAGGTTGCAGTTGATTGGTGGCGTGGTGTTGGTGTTGGTGGTGCTGATGACTCGATGGGTGGGGGTTAGTATGCAAAAACGTTTTGCTGGATGACGATGATGATGCCGTGGTCGTTGTTGTTGCTACTGCAGCATTTGCGTTTGCACTCACAATCAAATTTCCATTAATTTTATGTGTGTTGGTGACGGCAGACATTGTCAGTCGTTGTGTTACCATTTATGGTGGCACAAAATGCACGTTGCCGTTTTGGTTTTTTGTGTTGTTGTGTTCTCTGGAAGAGCTTTAGGGTTTATTTTCGGGGGCGAAAAAAACCCTACTTAAAATACTTCTCTGGAAATCATTATGTCGGTTGGTTGCATGCACAATTTTATTTTTTGGTTTTTTGGGCAAAAAGCGTCTCACCACAGCTCGAACCTACGAAAGAGAGAAAAAGAAAAGGAGGAAAATACAATTATTGCAATTAGTTGCTGACTTCAGTTGATAGTAGTAGCTAGTAAATATGATGCAAGCAATTTGATGGCACAGTCATAAGCAGACTAAAGACGCACATAAATGATGTGGTAATTTTTTTTAGCTTATTTTAACCCTTTAAAATGTGGTACACAATTTGGCGCCGTGTTCGTTATCAGCGAATGGATTATATTTCCTCAAAATGATTTGGAAAACAGCTAGGTTTTAGAATTCATACTCTTGGAAAAAACACTTTAACGTTGTATACTTTGTTCTTTAAGATTATTTCAACACAAGGAAACGTAAATCTTCATATAATATTCAATATGTATGGTACCAATGTTGTAAAAATTCTTAAACATTGTAAAAATACAATTTTATTTCGATCCATTATTTTCAACTTTCGGCAGAGCATACTTTCCGCAGTCATGTGCGTTTCGAAAATGGACAACTGACCTATCGTGCGCTCGATCCACAAATGAATTCCCATGCCAGTAGTCACGCAATTTTGTGAGTGCAACTCAAATATGCAGTTGTTGACAGGCTTTTAAACACATTTAGTTTTTGGGAAATGTGTATATTAAAAGGAGTATCATATCATTTTGCGGCCATGCAACAAAAAAATGGGAGGGAAAGAGATGGGTTGTAAGCATTGTCCTACAACAGTCAATTTGAAAAGAGACCTAATTTATTTCAAATTTGTAGAAAATGTTCGAAGAATAAGAATGTTCAAACAGTTTTGACAAAATGAATTTCAAAACATAATTTTGACAGGGCATGGACAAATTTGTACATAGTGTGAAACTCATTCGAACGTGAGCGGTAGCGCAGAAATAAATCAAACCCATTTTTTTGATGTCGCTCGAATAGGAGTGATCAAGTTTTACTCGTTTTTGAGTAGGAAAAAATTCGCTCGAAATCGAGCAGATTCTACTTTTGTCGAGCATTTTTTAGTTTTTAGTCATACCGTTGCTCAAAAGAAGTTTTCGTCAAAGAAGTTTTTGTTTGAGAATGATAGGATAAGATTTATTCGTAAGTGTTGCAGATGTGTTATTGATTGATTGATTGATATCGAACTGTTAAAAACATAGTTTTCTTCCAAAATTTACAATACATAATTTAAACAAATTAAAAAGCTGTAAATTCGGCCTGTTCGGAACTTTGAATACCTTACACCATTTGTAACGAATTTAGCAATTCTCAAAAAACAATAAAATCCGCTAAAAATTCTGTTAAAATCTTAAAAATACCGAATGTAGCTGTTATATTAGGGCCAATACGACGACATATACATTTGAGTAAAATTTTATCAATCTAGTTTTGTTCGGAAGTCAGAGTGATTTCCACAGACAAACTTAATATACCCTCTATACTATGGTATGGAGGCCATGTCAATTTAAATGATTTCGATCGAAACTACTCAATATCTTATCACATAATCTATCCTCTCTTCCTCCCCCTCTTCCTCTTCCATAATGTTTTTGTTAAACTTCGAGTTCCAAGCTCATTGCAAGAAAAGCTAAATAACTAAAATTTAAGATATATTTATTTGCTGGCAATTCGGCCGATTTTCTCTATCACGTATTAGTTGTAAGTTTCAAATATCCTTTTTTCCCTTGGCGTAATGTAAAATTAATAGATACAGAGACAACTCACTATGTAAGGATATTCGCACTGCATCAAAATGTGTCCCTTCTGAGTGGTTTTGAGCCATGGGAATAAATACATTATAATAATAATAAATAAACAATTGTGTTTTTATTGCAGGCGGAATTTTGCTGTTTAGCTTATATCACGAGGCCGCCCATACCCCACACGCACCACATGGATTAAGTATACAAAAAGTAAACCTCTCCATTTCGGGACTAGGTCTAATCTCTCCATTTAAGTCAGTGGGTGACTAAATCCAACGACGACGATAGTGAGAGCAACTCACTCGTGTGGCAGTATTTATGGCGCCATAGCTGATAATTTTTTGCTTGCTTGCATTTTCTGCCGATTGCTACACTTTTTCGTTGCCGTTCAGCAATGCTGTAATTAAATTGTCATCAACATTTACTTTGCCGCTCAACGGCTGTAGAAAGTGAAATGTGACTTTAATTATTTGTTAGTTTTTTATTTTTTAGTTGCACCAGAGAAAATGGAAATTGTTGGCAGGTAGAGCATACGACGAAGAGGATGTCGATTGGGTGTTTAGCGAAGACAGTAAAAGTATTTCGATTTATGGCTAGAAAGGTGCACACTGAGTGGCGTAGTCACTCAACCTGGACTATTGAGTGCTACGCCACTGCCGATTTCCTGCAAATGAAATTTCACATTTTCATTGATGACTACAACATGGACAAATATACAATTCCGTGAAAGCATTTAAAACCAATTGAATTGATTATTAGTTTCCTTTGCTTCACAAGAATCAGCACTGTATCTGCATGCAAAAGCAAGGAAGAGAAAAAAATAGTGGTCGGGTCAGATGTTCAATAGGATGTCGCAAAACGAAGCTGTTGCTTCTCTTAATGCCGTAATGTGACATTTCCTTTTCATATATCAATCAAATGGCGTGCAACATTTTCTTTGTCGGAAATATCATCGGCTGATTGAAATAATCCAATGTACATATTATGAATTTCATTTAATTTCACAACAATATGGAATCAATGGAAAGCTCTTATGATAGCTTGTGGAATTCATAGGGTGGCAGCAATGCTAATCAAGAAGCAAAGTCAGTTTTACTACCAATTAGAAGATGGTTTAATGATGCAATAGCATGCAAGAAGTATAAACAATCTCATGTTATATACATTAAAGTTAATAAATATGCAATTTCATCAACATATATTTCATAAAATGTTCTTCTTCTCTTTTTGATGAAGAGAGAACATACAGTGGAACTTTGTAGAAATAAAAACTATTGAATATCATAAATTTCGATTCCGAACAAATTTCCACACACCAGCACTATGACTGTGTTTTTCTGATCCGTTTTACGTTTACGTTAAATTAATATTTGTTTCACGTTTCTATCACTCATTTAGTGAATTTTCAATGTTTAAAATAATACCTTACGTGTTTGTTTTTATACCCTACAACACTATGTGTTGGGGGTATTATAAGTTTGATTGGGCCAAAAATTATGTAACACCTCGAAATATTGGTTTCCCACATAGGAAAGTATATGTGGATCTTCTTATCTCGTCGAGCTGAGTTGATCTAGCTATTTATGTCCGTCCGTCCGTCCGTCTGTAATTTGTAATCAAGCTACAGGTCACTATTATGGCCCGATCCTCTTAAATTGAAAATAGAGATGGTCAGAATAGAAGCCTATTGCTTTTCGAGATGATCGCATAATATTTAGGGGTTAAACTGTACCAAAAACTAAAATTTCCAAATTTTGCAGTTGCTCTACAGTTTGCAATTATAGACCAATCGACGTGGAAGTTAGCATGGGGCTAGAGCTTAGGGCTGAGCTGTAGCCTTCAAATTAGGATGGTCATCGAGTAATATTTAGTGGATTAAATAAACCATAACATTTGTGTTAAATAAAAGTCAAATTTTCAGAAATAGACGAAAAGGTAAATTCAGACCGTTACGTTGATGCCGATAGTAAATATATCGGATATATATAGCGAAAAATATACAATGTGTATATACCAAGGAAAGGGATGTTAGCTAGAATGCCTATATCTCAAGAATGACTGAACAGATTTTGACAAATTTTGACAATTCGGAAAGCCCTCTTGGCATAAAAGAATAAAATATTAAAAAATCGCTTAAAAATGTGTCAATAATGATGTTGATATAGATTTTGTGGTATTTTGTGACTTTTTTATTTATTTCATATTTTTATTTTTTTTTATATTGAAGTATACATTTTACAATATTTTTTCTCCTCACAACACAGGTTGGGGTTATTGTATAAAGATTGCAATTATTGTCCGATCCTCACGAAATTTTTCATAAGGGTAGCGTTAGGCTCAGAATATATATGGGTGTATATATGGACCAACTGCTAAAAATGATCCTGATTTGCAGGACACGAAATCTCGCATGTAGTTAGAGTTTAGGACAGCGCGTAGAATGGACAATGGAAAATACACAAAAGGCTAACTTCTGGTTTTTTATGCTGACTTCGTTGACGTATTTAGCCAAATATCGTACACAAGCAAATCATATAGATGAGTCTAAATTTGGAGATGATGGCAAAGTATTTAGAGGTTCAAATGAACCGAATACAGAAAAAAAAATCTTAATCACACAATTGAAACCAATCGACACGGAATTTTGCATGAGAAGAGAGTTATGGACAGGGATTTGGGTGACCATTGGATTATATTTAACTGTAGAATAGACCACAACAACGAACAGCCCGACGCAGTGCGTAAATATTGGGCAATTGTCCCTGGTCAAAAAGCTAAGGATAATATCTGGGCAGTGCTCCGTACATAACATAATTTCAAAAGCGAAATCTTCCAGAATGGATTTGGTCATAAGGGGCCTTCTAACATATTGTAGTGTTGTAGGGTATCACATGGTCGGCCCAGCACGACTGTAACCTTTACTTGCTTGTTTTAATTTATTTTTTATTTATTTTTATTTTCTCTTTTGTTTTGAATCACTAAAATCATTTATTCCTTTTTTTCAGCTGTATTCTCTCTGGGAAAGATTGAATGACCCAAATTGCCATAGTGTTATAATACAATTTACGTAATGACGAGCCAACGGAGCCAAGAACGGAGGAGCTGAGTCGAGACAAAACGAAACAATTGCAGTGCAGTTGTGCATGGTTTAATGCACATTTTGGAAAACGATGAGATAATATTCCTACTAAGTTTGTGGACTAACTATGCAAACGCTGTGTGGCGGAGAATCGGGGCGAGACAATAATGGCAAAAACAAAACCAAGTTTACAAAACAAACGGGCAAAAATTAAAACCCAAGGAAAGATTTTTTCCGGGACAGGGTTAACA